AAAATCAACACAAAAAAAGCAATACATCTAATGCTTTGGCTCTGATTTTGATCAACTACAATAGGGATTTATTCTAATTCAACAGAACTATAATTAGCAGTAATGGGACCCTGCTGAGAGTTATAACACACCCCACTGAGGAGTAGGCCCTGGCCCCCATGCAGCAACACACATCCTGGCAGGCTGAGATAATTTGATTACACAGGGGGCACAGCAGGGAAGCAAAAATAGAGCCAAGCTTGTTTGAGAAATTCTGAGGCAGCCCACCGAATATGAGGCCAACAGCACAAGATAAGCCCACAGGCACAATGTGAGCGACTAAACAAGAGGGGGGCGGGTCAGTTTTACCTTCAGAATAGACCCAGCTGGCCTTTGTGCACCTGTGCTGGTTGGGAGGGGGTGGGAGGCGGGGCAGAGTCCCAGTCTTCCTGCTGCAGCCACCTGGAGAAATCCTGGACACAGGAAGCAGCTCTCTGCCACACAACAAACCCTGAAGTTTGCTGGAAAAGGAACAGCAGAGTAGCTACGGTAACCCGTCACCGGCAAACGTAGCAACATTTGTCAGCACGGGGGCTGCAGGGTTATTTTGGGGCGGACTGACCCATGTGCCTGGGTGGCGTTCCTCCTCATTGGCCAGAAGGGTAGGGGGGAGGTATAGCAGTGGGGTGGGGGTCGGGGGGGTCATGCTGTAAAGGGTGGTCTGTCCCAGACCTCTGAACCACTGGACTGGAAGATCCCAGATCAGAGTTCCCACACACACTGCAAGTCACAATAAAACCCTTGTTTATAGATGTTGGAGATCAACCTGTTTTTCCAGTGTGGTCCTGTTTCTCTGACCGTGACTGGCTGGATGTGCTCTCTTCATCCTCTGACATGGGAGTTGGCTCGGAGCTCGTCTGCCTGGCTGTGTGTTTCCTGGACGGGGCCGCCTTTTACAGATGCTTTTTGTATCTCTGCTTCTGTCTCCTCAACCCCAGTCGGCCTCAGCAGATGGCCGCGCACACTGAGTTTTTCCTCTCCACTGTCGCTACAAACATGCTTAGTTTGAGGGATTGCCTTCGAGTCAATGAGTCGATACAATCAACTGGTTTTCCTTAGATAGAAAACTTTGAATTAATCTGACTGGATGATCTGGTGAACTGGAAAGTACCTTGAGATGGCATGTGTTGTGACCCTTAGCAAAAACTAGTTTATTCAAGTATACTAAAAGTGCACTAATTTCATACTTAAAATCAGGCAGTGCGCTTAAAGTTTACTTATTCTAACCAATATTTCATATACTTAGCAATAGTATAGTCAAGTGTACTTGTCTATACTATTGTTTACATTTATTGTTTACTAAAGTATACTTTAAGTATACTTTAGTAAACTTCAAAAATGTCCCAATTTAGTTCGAAGAAGTATTACTTTAGTAATACTTCAAGTACACTAAAAGTACATTGTTCGTTATACTTTGTAAACTTATACTTATACTTAAATATTCTTAATAGAATTTACTTCAAGTATACTACTTTTTGCTAAGGGCAATTCAGTTTATTTACATAGCACTTTACAGAGACAATTCATCCAGATCATACAGTCAGACTGGTTCAGTTTTCTAAGAAAAAAAAACAGCAGATTGTATCAAGTGATGGACTTTGCTGGATTCGCTCCTCCTGGATGAAGCATGTGTTGACAGTTGATAAATGCTTGCATTTTATCTTTGATGTCAGAAATCCCTCACACCGAGCATACATGCAGTGACAGTGGAGAGGAAACCTCCAGAGAGAGAGAACATACAGTTTGACACACTAAAAGCTGAGCTCATAGCTATATTTAGGAGAGAAACAGGACTTAAAGCCTAACTCTATCATCAATAAACAAAGGTGTTAAAGGCAACAGCCCAGCTGATATTTCTTTCCAGGATGGCTTCTCAATCAAGGAGGAACCAATAAAATGAAGCTACTATGACAAGAAAAAGAGATTGTAAAGTTGTCGGTTGAACTAATAAATACAACAGAATGGGAGAATAGAGCTAGAATGATGAAAGGTCGTCCCTATGTCTTCCAGCAGAATAAGTATATAACAGCATAACTATAGAGATAGCTCAGGACAATCTATGCAGTTATCATCATCCATCCATCCCTAAGTTTTTGAACTGGGAATTCTGGGAGATGGAGTCTTGAATGGGTTCAAATATTTATTTTTTTATTTCAGATTATTTCTATAGCACCAATTCGAATTGGTGCTATAGATCATCCTTTTATAAGTTTATCTTTTCAGTTCATGAACTGAAAAGATAAACTTATAAAAGGATATAAAAGATGGATAATTATCTGTTGGATTAAGATGTGGATGAAAAAAAAACAACTCATGCATAGATGAGTTTGATGAATGAGCAGCCGGAAGGGGAGAGGAATAAAGGAGTTGGATGGATGAATGAAGAGAATAATGAATGATAATTCAACTTTGGACAGATTGATAGATGAAGCATTAATAGATGTGTATATGGATGGATGAAGTAGTCTTAGATTGACTGATGAAAGGAGAAATCCATTTCTAATCTTTAGTCAAAAATCCAGAAGAAGCAGCAAGGAATTCGGATCATTATCTGAAATTCACTTATAAAAAAATGGGTCTTAAAACATTTTCTCATAGCTTTTTTTCTCTAAACCGAAACCAGATGAGCAAAGGTCCAAACTGTTTAAGACTACCTATAGGAACCACTTTAGAAGTCAACAGCAGACAGATCCCTCTGCAAACATTTCACAAACAGAAACTGCTCCAGGTGGATGTTTATTCAATGTTTCAGCGTGAATATCGGGTTGCATGTTGCAGGAAATAGCTAAATAGTTTACATCGTGCTCATCAGATGCAGCACTTTCACCCTTCAACTGCTCCATCAAAAAGTTTAATCAAACAAGTGTTTCTAGTCTCAATATCATTTTCGATCACAGAGAAAAACAAAAGACAGGAAGCAGCAAGCCTGAGCTTTTATTTACACTTAAAACAGTGTAGGAGCTGGAATCCAAACACATCTAGTCATCAGGTGTATTGCAGCCGTTACAAAAGCTAGTATAAACTGGCTTTAAAGCAACACCTTGTACACGTTATGAAAAAGCTGTACATATTAATGCACATAAATGCATATTTGCATAATTTCTCATCAGATCCACAAAGACAGGATCTAAGATATCAAAAGTTAAGGTACATGAGATGTCTTCCAGCACTGATGTGTTTGACAGATCTTTTCTGGCACTTTGCGAATCATGCATGCGAGGCAAAAAAAAAAAAAACAAGTGTTGCACCAGTCAATCAGAAAGTGGTCAGAATCTTAATCTGCAGTTTAAACACTGATTTAAATAATCCATAAATGCATCGAAAATCAAAACTCCCATTTTCTCCAGTTACTTGACAAATTGAAAAAGTTATCAGCTGCATTTGGGCTCATCTGAATACATCATCGGTTACATTCTGTCTCACAAATAACATTTGAATGTTTTTAAGACATCTGGGGAAAAGAAAAATTGTAAATCATGGAAGTGATCACAGAATTAATAAGAACGAGCAAAGAAAAGGATTCAAAAGTCAGCCAGTTTTTCCCTGATTTGCTCTGACTGCTGATCAGCAGATTAAATGCTACAGAATTTTTTTTCTTACTGTTCTTTAAATGCATCAAAAACCCAAACTTTTTCCTAACACACAAATACATGATCAATCAGCATCTCCTTTGTTGCTTTACTGCATAATCTGGGATTAATCCTGTAATTTTCTTCCTTCACTTTAGCAAAATACATGGCAAAGTACTTAAATTTATGCTAAAGTTGTTTTGTTTTTTAAATAATGAATACGTTTTTCAATTATGCAGGTTCACAAATTATAACAAGATTCTAAATTTTAGTGATTTGGATCCAGTAAACACAGAGTGATATTTTTCAAGCATTTATTTCTGTTAATTTTGATCAATTCTGCCAACAGTTCATAAAAAGCCGGAGAATTTAATTTAACACAGAGCCCAAGCTGGAAAGCCTCATGTTAAAACAGCTGCTGTACTCAAAGGAAGGTTTAGTGGAAGGAAAAAGTGTGGAAGAAGATGCTCAGCAACAGGCATTACAGCAGGAAGGCTTTAATTGCTCTTTTTAAAGGAACCTTAAATTGGGTTCCTGCTAGCAGTAAGCCATAATCTTCAAAAGAGAATAAATTATTTCACTCTGTGTTTATTGAATCAATTTAGCTCCATCTTAAGAATTTAATTACAGAAATAAGTTAATTGATATTTATTAAAATGCATCTGGGTGCATCAAGATCTCTAGGAAGAAAATCTGAATTCTCAGGTTAAATATTTAGGAAAACAATGGCTTGGGAAAGGTCTGATTGGTGCATCGTCAAGCACTAAAGATGCTTGTTTCAAACTGAAACTAATACTCAAAGGTTGTTGGGGCAGAAGCAGCTGAAAGACACAAAGTAAACAAACATCCTCTTTGGCATACAACGGTTATTTCCTAACAGTTTTCTTTTTTGTGTAATGCAGTAAAGGCAACATAAGAGTAGAGCATTACAACAAAAATTAAAAGTTTTTGTGTATCTTGACTGTAACAGGTGGCTTGTGGGATTAAAACATTATCATTAGCAGCAACTGGAAAGTGTTGATTAGCTTCATCTGTAAATAAAAAAAAAACAGCACAAGACACTTCCAGCAAGAAGTTTGGGAATGAAACAAAGATTCACAGGATACCGATCAAAATGATGCATTCAGGTTCTCTTCCATCCCAGTAAGCAGATGCAACAACTGCATCCTGATGCATGGCAACCGTAGAACCTTTGTGAAGTCCGTTTTCCTTTCTCTCCATGCATCAAAAATAGGCTCCAACATTATTGTGTTTTTCACAGTGTTTTTGTGGCCTTGAGTCAACAGAGACGAACATGAGACATTGTTGAATTTGTATTTAGTGCAGCGAGTGTGATAAAGATGTAGGAGGCACAGTAGAGTTCTGCAACAGATCCGAGGGCGCCTTTTTGTCGCCATCAGGAGTCTTCACTGGCACGTTTGCGGGATTGGTCCCCCCTGGGGACAAGAAAGATAAAAGACCTTAGTGATTCTGGTGCAGACTGGAGAGTCAGAAACCTAAGCAGCGGGAAACCGACCGTGGGAAACCGTTCATGCAGAGCTCCATCTGCAGCTTCCGGTCATGGTCTGCGTAATCGGGCAGCCGAGATTCAACAGCAGGAGGGTGGATCTGCGGTATGAAGCTGGAGAAGAGGGCCGGAGCGAGCTGGGCCCACTCTGAAAGGACAAAAAAAACAATTATATTTATGGAACAGAAGGACCTTAAAGTATAAGAACTCCCCTATCTGATGTCCATTAACGCATACGTCACCTGGACGTAGGCTGTAGAGGCCTTTAACCACACTGGCCATCGTGGATGGTTGAACTTGAAAGGGCATGGAGTGAGCTTTAATGAGCAGAGCTGGAAATAAATGAAAACGAAGTCTGAATGTGGTTCAGAGAGAGAAAAACCGAAAGCCAGAACATTGTAGGATAAGGTGTGTTTTACTTCTTTGATGTCTTGCTTAACAATAAACAGTTAAGCCATTTGGTGGACAGCAGTAACATTACAACGCTAAAAGATATTTCTTCAATGCAAATGCTATTAACTAATCAAACAGAGCACATTTTTATCTAATAAACTATTAATCCAAAATGATTTGGTTATTTGTTTAAATCATTTGCTCTGTTTCTGGCCTCAGAGCAGATAAAGAGCATCATGGAAACCGAGGAACACAGCAGACAGGTCAGAGAGAAGGTTGCAGAGAAATTTAAAGGTCTAGAGGATGATCTTTTATTTCCGGGTGGATCACCTAAATAAGTTCACTGGAAAAAATCCAAATCTAGACAAGTTCTTTTTTCTTAAAATAAGTGCATTTATTCTTGAATTGAGGAGATAAAAGAGACATATTGCCAATTGAACAAGACAACTTTGGTTTAAAATAAGAAAACGCAATTGCATTGTCTTATTTCAAGTGCATATTATCTCATTGTCTTATTTTAAGAGTAAAAATACTCATTCCATTGGCAAACTATCTCATTTACATACTCAAATCAAGGGTAAATACACTTAATTTGAGAAAATTTTACTTATTTCTAGATCGTTTTTGCAGTGTTGTCCTCCTAATTGTCAATCACCATGTTGATATGTTTACGGAAGGCCGTCCTACGTGCTCATCCTGTTAGCTTCTCTTTTTCTGTGCAGGCGCACTTTCAGACGTATATCTGCGGTGAGCTACGGTTTCAGCCAGTCATTGAAGCTCACCTTTCTCACGCCGGTTCTTTGAAAATGGCAGAGGGTCGGAAGTTAAAAAGTCTCTTCCAAGTGTAAGAGAAGAAAAGAAAGGCCTCAGAAGAGGCAGATTAGCTGTCAATACGGCAGGTTATCGCCACAGGCTGTTGCTACCCGACAGCGGCGACTGATAACAAAGATGGCGCAGGCAACACGCAGAGTAGGAGAAGTTACGTGACCAACGGGGAGCAAAAAGTAGTGATTACCGTATTTTCGCGACTATAAGGCGCATATAAACGTCTTTTTTTCCCTCAAAATGTGCAGCGCGCCCTATAGTGCGGTGCGCCCTATATGTGTTGTTACTGCGGATGTTGTTGAGACTGCCATGAGAACGTTAAAGGGGGAAGTGTGGGCGTGGATTGTGTATAAAAGAACAGGTATGTGCTTTATGCAGAACTCCTCATCTCCTCATTGAGGAGATGATGAAAGCGTGGCTGAGGGAGGTGTATGTGAGGAGACCAGGTGGTTTTTTTCCACGCCTCACCATCGCTGTTAATCTGTGACTCCACGCGTGCCCATCTCACAGCCGATGTGAAAAACATGGTGAAACAAATTAACGCTGTGCTAACCGGCCGTTCAAAGTAATACTGCTTTCACACCGGACGCAGCAAACCAGCAAAATCGCGTCTGCTGCTTCATTTTTGAGGCTTGTACCAGTTAGTTCTGACGCGCGGCTGAAGCAGCTTTGCTGCTCTGGCTGTGCGGTCCCAAAAGTGTCTGACGCGCGTTGGGCGGAGCTACTCTATCCTTTCTTTGCCTTGCAGCTATATTTGCTGTGATCAGTGGGAATAAAGTAGTTTTAATATGTTTTTAAGTGAGAAAATCCACCTGAAAACTTAATCAGTGCAGTCAGTTCATCCAGATTACCATCCTGCCTTGCAATATTATTTCTGTCGGAGCCGCTCAGACCCCCACATACCAGCAGTGCGCTGTCAGTAGGAATCCCTTCATCAGCAGCCTCTGGCCAGGTCGCCTCCTCGCGGTTCACCGCGGCAGCTGGTAGGTGTTTTCCATCTAAATAATCTAAACTGCAGGCACCAGGATAATAAAAGCGAACATATTCTGCTGGCAGATTTCTGCATTTTAAGTTAATTTAGGCATCAATAAACTTCAGAGGAGTGATCACAGCGCTCTGTGTCATCAGCGATGTGTCTGTCTCACGGCCAGCTCTCAGGTTTGATTAATACTGAGATAAATACATGAATAAAGCACAAACTCGCTCTGTTTTTAAATACGTAGTAGAGGTATTTAAACGTAGTAGAGGACATGTACCGGTATATAAAACCCGCGCCCTATAATCCGGTGCGCCTTATGTGTGTGTTAAATACGGAAATGGCACACATAACTGAGACTGCGCCTTTTAGTACGGTGCGCCTTATGGACGTGAAAATACGGTATCTATACGAACGGTCATGAAATTGGGTTCACTATAAAGTCCACTATATTGTCCCTTATAGTGATTGAGGGATTTAGGGGTTAGGGATGGACGTTCGGTCACAGTAAGCTTGTATGAGCTATGAAAACAGCAACTTTTAAACAGACCGTGCACGTGGAGAAATGGGCTTGCACGCATTTAATAGGCGTTCCCTCTCAGAGTGGGTACAGGGTTGTGCTGTGCTTTTTTTTTTTTTTTTTTTTTTTTTTTTTTTTTAGTGGAGAGGTTGGGTCTTTTAAAAAAATTGTGAAAATCCTCCACAATACCTTTAAAGCACAGTCATGTTTTAATATAACATCCATGCTCTGAACTTCTCCAAGAACTCTGTTCAATCTTTCATCTGGATTTGGAGAGACAAACTAAGAAATGGAGGTTTGTTGAAAAGCATTCGGTTAGAAACTTCCCAAAGCTAACCACAGACTAAAGAACCCCTGCCTAAAAAAAGCCATGAAATCTCCCATTAGTTTGCAGTGAAAGCGACGCAGTAGTCATGAGAAAACAAGTTGATCTGGTCAGATGAAGTAGCAGTTACAGTTTTAAAAACATGGGGGTGGCTGCATCATGCTGTGGGGGAGCTACATGTGGATGATTTTGTGCTGTCCTGTAGATCAGGCATCCCCAACCTCGTCCTCAAGGCCCGCTGTCCTGCAGGTTTTAGAGGTTTCTCTGCTTTAGCACAGCTGGTTATAATGATTGCAGTAGACCAAAATCCTGTTAATCAGCTTTCAATTAAAATCAGCTGTGCTGGAGCAAAGAAACCTGCAGGATAGCGGGCCTCGAGGACCGAGGTTGGGGATGCCTGCTGTAGATGCATCCCTGATTCAGCACACCAGGCTCAAAACTTCAACTTAACTGGGTTCTGCTAATTACCCAGTTAGTGGACCCCGGTGTGTTGAAGCAGGACCCCAGCCTCTGAGGACCAGAGTTTAACACTTATGGTCTCCAGATAATGCAAAGCTATTAGGTGGGTCTATATACAACTGATTACAAAAATTAGATTGCGAAGGTAATAACAACAAGCTCTCACGCATCAATTTGCTTAGATGTTTTTCTGCAACATGGTCTGCAAACAGCTTCATCAGATCCTCTTTCAGGTCTCGGTTCAGTTTCGACTCAATATAAAACTTGTTCTGAAATATAGAAAAAAATATGAAAAGTAGCTATAATATCTTTTTTTTTTTTTAGGTGGCACAAAATAGAAACAATACCTACCAAGTATATAAACACTGGAACGATGCACTGAAGAGAGGCTAAGTACTGAGTCAGAGCAACGTTGAAGTTCTCAATCAGGCTCTGAGGTGGGCTGGCCTGTCGATAAGTCAGACAAACTTTAGCTTTATTCATATTCTCTTTGAGGTGTTTCACTGTATTTGGGTTTTCTTACCTGTAGCTGCGTAGAAACCTGCTGCAGGTGAGCTGTTATCTTTGACGTCAGGTCACCGTAGAGCAGCTCTGAGTGCTGCTGGCAAACACACTTGTAGACGTAACTGAGAATAAGAATCAGCAGAAGAGCAGCACATTAATGAAGGTATGCATTTCAGCTGCTCTGTCATGACCAGCAAAACCAAACACTAAAGGCAAAAAAAGCAGTGACTCAGCACCACCTAGTGGACAGAACAGGTTGATGAAAAAATATCACCAGTGTTGAAAATGTAAAAAACTATTAATCAACAGTAGACCTCATATCTACGGAAGAGGATTAGGGCCACTGGAAAAAAAAAGAAAAAAGTTAACTGATTTTTTTTTTTTTTTATTTCAGTATAGTATGGGAAAAAAGTCAGAATTCTGACTTTAATGTCAGAATTCTGACTTTTTTCTCAGAATTCTGACTTTTTTCTCAGAATTCTGACTTTAATCTCAGAATTCTGACTTTTTTCTCAGAGTTCTGGCTTTTTTCTCAGAATTTTAGATCTTATTGTAGATGGGCACCATAAAGGAAGAGATGTGGGAGCACTCAGCTTCACTGACAAAGATTCGAGTTGTTTGAGAGGGCCAGTGACACATTGGTGGAAAATGACGGAATTAGGCAACTTTTTACGTGCCCGAGGGGTCCCCTCATTAATGGAGGAGCAGAAGGTCATTAAAACAAGAGAGCAAGTCTCTAAAACAGACATGGCTATGGCTTGATGCTAACATGTTTGTTAGCTGTCAGAATTCTGAGAAAAAAGTCAGAATTCTGAGATCAAAGTCAGAATTCTGAGATTAAAGTCAGATTTCTGAGATTAAAGTCAGAATTCTGACTTTTTTCCCCATATTAAACTGAAATAAAATGTAAAAATCAGTTAACCTTTTTTTTTTCAGTGGCCCTAATCCTCTTCCATAGCAAAGGGAAGGAGCGGTTATGATCTGATGAAACCAAACTTTAATGTTTCAGTCTCGGTTCTGCAAGGTAGGTTACATACAAAACCAGCACTGATCATATAGAGAGAAAAAAAGAAGTAGGACAGTGATGGTAAAACCATGATTTATTTTATTTGTAGCAGGGTTTTAACCTCTTACCAACCAAAAGATTTAAGCTTATGCACTAAATTTGGACATCTGAACTGGCCTCGCCTAATAAACGCACATAGAGGATGCTTTTAAAAGAATGTAGCTTCGAGTTTTTGGTGATAATCATTTCAATACTGTGACAATTACACAACCTTAAGGCCACTTCAAACCATGGCTGCAAACAATGATTATTTAGCTAATTGATTATCTGTTCATTATTTTCTCGATTAATAATTGAGCATCAAAAGGTCAATTTAAGAAGATTTTATGCAGAATTTAAACCAGGTAAAGCTAAAACTGCCACTTAAGGGGTTCTGGGCAGAGCTTATTCGCAGAAAAAAAAGGGTTTTCATTCTAAATGTGAAATATTTATGGGTTTTTCTTATATAATTTTGGAATAATTACGGTTTTGTGTAGTTTGATTTTCATTCAGCATATGTTCTAAACCAGTCAAAGGGCTAACCGATTATAAAATCAGCTTATGGTTATTTTAATAAGGGATTGATCATGATTAAACTGATTGATCCAGTCCTAGTTCAAACATTTTTTTAATCCTGCTTTCTAGATACCACTGCTTTGACACACACCATAGCATGCATATGTAATTTACTGCAATTGCTTTTCCTGTTGTTGACAAAATATGTGCAAAATTTGACATCAACAGAATGAGGTATACTGATGCTTTTATAGAACAAAAACATATTTATTTTACCATTTATTTGACAATAAAAAAAACATTTTATTTTGTAGGCGAAAGGTATTTTCTTCCGATATCACTTTTGTTATAAAGGTGATGAAAGCAAGTGAGTAATTTCCTATGATATGAGCTGATTTCTATCAATCAAGTGGCCCCCCTCACCTTATGAACGACGCCCCACCCCTCATTTCAAAGCTCTCCACCTTGGCTGCCACCTCATGTGTTAGAACATAAACGCTGGGGCGAAGAGAAGCGGGCTTTGTTGTGACAGCAGGCTAACACACTGGAAAAACTCAAATCTAGATAAGTAATTTTTTCTTAAAATAAGTGAATTTGTTCTTGGATTGAGGAGGTAAAAGATACATTTTGCCAATAAAACAAGGCAATTTACATTTAAAATAAGAAAAAAAATTGCATTGTCTTATTTCAAGTGCATATTATCTAATTATCTTATTTTAAGAGTAAAAATACTCATTCCATTGGCAAACTATATCATTTACCTATTCAAATTAAGGGTAAATACCCTTAATTTAAGAACTTTTTACTTATTTCTGAATAATCTTTCCAATGCATAGAGCTGAAAATAAACGGACCCAATATATGACCAGAACCTCAGATGAAAGCTTTAGTTTTTCAATTTTATGTTTCTGATTTTCTGATAGAAGCAAAGCAAGTTTTCATAAATTCAAAATTCAATGGGTTGATATTTTATGGAGGAAACAATTTAATGTTCTTCTTCTGTGGATTATTATGAACAAAATGAGCCTAAACATGCCTGGAACATCTATGAAAGACAGATATTTCCATACGGACACTAAAACTTACTTATTGCCTTTTAAAGGAGAAGTTCGGTTTTTAACACTTTTAGCCCATTTTCTGTAGTGTCCAGGATGAAATCGAATGATCGACACCAAAATGTTGACAATTGGTCCTGTCTCTGCTATTTGGCTCATGCAGAATCTCCCCCTGGCTGCTTTAGAATGGCTAGCATAGAGCATGTCCGATAATGTCCTTAAAACAACCTTAAACGTTTTTTTTTTTAAATATGCTACTCACCAGGTCGTCAGCGCTGTTCAATGACGTTCCAAAAAAAGTTTCGTAAAGAAAAAACGTTCCTGTAGTGTTTTATTTAGCATTTTGTAAATCCCATTGAGTTCTGTTGGAATAGTCAATATCCCTCCGCCACCGGAAACGGAAATGGGGCCTGTTTACACAGTTGTAGTCTTTTCGCTTCACTCTGTGTACTCCGACGTCGAGAATCAAGAATCCACCTTTCGTATTCCATTTTCAGAGTTTTTTAAAGTGTTTAACAGAGACGTTAGCACCTCGACGTCGGAGTACACAGAGTGAAGCGAAAAGACTACAACTGTGTAAACAGGCCCCATTTCCGTTTCCGGTGGCAGCGGAATATTGACTATTCCAACAGAACTCAATGGGATTCACAAAATGCTAAATAAAACACTACAGGAACGTTTTTTCTTCACGAAACTTTTTTTGGAACGTCATTGAACAGCGCTGACGACCCGGTGAGTAGCATATTTAAAAAAAAGAACGTTTAAGGTTGTTTTAAGGACATTATCGGACATACACTATGGAAGCCATTCTGAAGCAGCCAGGGGGGGATTCTGCATGAGCCAAAAAGCGGAGACAGGACCAATTGTCAAAATTTTGGTGTCGATCATTCGATTTCATCCTGGACACTACAGAAAATGGGCTAAAAGTGTTAAAAACCGAACTTCTCCTTTAATGATGGTCGAAGGCATTATTAGGTTTGAGAGATTTGTTTTTTTTGAGGAAAAAAATATATATATATATAAAATAGAAAGGAGATTCTGACTGAAAAAATAATTGGTTAGAATCACATCAAACAACTAATAAATGACCAAATTAGGGCTGCAGATACCGATTATCTTAGTAATCGATTAATCTATCAGTTATTCTTTTGACTAATACATTAATCTAAAAATTAAATTTGTTTTATTAAGCTACCATAAAATAATATACGGAATAGAGAAGAGAAGCTTTTATTGTAAATAGCAAAACATGTAACTAATCTGTCCATTCACATTAAATTATATAAATATATGAATAAAGAAACAATTTAATCTCTAACTGAAAAAATATCCGTATACATTTTTTTAGTTTATATATGCAGATTTTTTTTCTAAATTACTGCTGCAAGTAGGTTATTTTCTTTCAGCAAGTAGTTTGTTTTAGAGTCTGGATAAAGATTGGATTACTAAATTAGTTGATAATTATTTCATTAATTAATTAAGCAGATTAATCATCTTCTTATACCACAGCTAGTATATGATGCTGCAACAAAATATAAACTGAAGTGCGTGCACAGTTATGCAACCAGGCTATTGTGGCTTTTTTGCCAACTATGCCGTAAGTTGAGAAATTTTGAGCATGCTCAGAATTTCCAGACAGAAAATTTCTGTTTTTACTGAGGCTCAGCTTAAAAACAGCTAAGTATATGTTTTGGTACCAATGAGTAACAAACCAATGCAGCCTTACCAAAAGATTTTCTCTATGAATATATGTTTTTTTTTTTACAAATCTTGTTTTACAGAGTTCACACAAGGACTTTTCTTTTAGATTTTATATCATTTATGGTGACAAAGTACAACTACTATTAATAAAACTTGAGCTATCATCACCTTAAGAGTGACATCGTTTCTACACCACGACCGTCCATGTTTCTTGATCACAACTGTCTATGTTAAATGCAGAGGAACAGGGTGGTAGATTTCTTTCAGCCAGCTGACCAGCAGTGTGCAGCTGAAAACATTTCAGTGGTTTAACTGTTTTATATGGTGGCCCAGAGGTGTCGTCACTAATAAAAAAGCTGCAACACAAATACAAAAGCTGCAATATAAATACAAAAGCTGCAACACAAATACAAAAAACGGAACATATATATGTAAAAGCCACAACGGAAATATAAAACTACAACAGAAGTTGTTGTGAAGTGTTGCAGGATTTGCATTTTTGCTGCGGCTTTTGCATTTGCGCCGCGCCTTTTGCATTTATGTTGCGGCTTTTTCATTCATGCAGCAGCTTTTGTATTTATGCTGCGGCTTTTGTGTTTGCATTGCAGCTTTTGAATTTATGCTGCAGCTTTTGTATCTGCATTGCACCTTTTGCATTTATGCTGCAGCTTTTGTATCTGCATTGCACCTTTTGCATTTATGCTGCAGCTTTTGTATTCGCGTTGCACCTTTTGAATTTATGCTGCAGCTTTTGTATTTGCGTTGCACCTTTTGAATTTATGCTGCAGCTTTTGTATTTGCCTTGCAGCTTTTGCATTTATGCTGCGACTTTTGCATTTGCTCTGCGGCTTTTGCATTTGTGCTGCGGCTTTTGTATATGTGCTTAGGTTTTTGCATTTGTGCTTAGGCTTCTGCATTTGCGCTGCGGCTTTTGTATTCATGTTGCACCTTTTGCATTTATGCTGCAGCTTTTGTATTCGCGTTGCACCTTTTGCATTTATGCTGCAGCTTTTGTATTTGCGTTGCAGCTTTTGAATTTATGCTGCAGCTTTTGTATTTGTGTTGCACCATTTCCATTTATGCTGCAGCTTTTGTATTTGCGTTGCACCTTTTGCATTTATGCTGCAGCTTTTGTATTTGCGTTGCACCTTTTGCATTTATGCTGCAGCTTTTGTATTTGCATTGCAGCTTTTGCATTTATGCTGCAGCTTTTGTATTTGCATTGCAGCTTTTGCATTTATGCTGCAGCTTTTGTATTTATGCTGCGGCTTTTGTATTTGTGCTTAGGCTTTTGCATTTAGGCTTCACCTTCTGCATTTGCGCTGCGGTTTTTGCAGTTGCGCTGCGGTTTTTGCAGTTGCGCTGCGGCTTTTGCATTTGCGCTGCGGCTTTTGCATTAGTGCTGACACCTCTAGACCACCGTAGTTTTAAGCCTCTCCATGATTCATTTTGTTGCTATTTGTTAAATAAATAGTGCAGAGGCGCTCAGGTCTGGTCCTCCAGAGCTACCATCCTGTAACTTTTAGATGCATCTTTTCTCTAACACACCTGAATTGAAAGGCTCAATCTTCTGCTTTAGCCCAGCAGATGGGTGGTAAGTAGCCACTCGTTGGATTCAGCTGTGTTAAAAATGGGGTGCAATAAAAAGTTGCAGGAAAGTAGCTCTTGAGGACTGGAGCAACCCTGAAATAGTGCAAAGTGGAAGTGGGGCCCAGAATCAGGTCTGGTGAGCATCCAGGCTTACCCATAGATCTGAGCATAGGATACAGAAATGTGATCCGAGAGGTTCTGGATCAGCAGACGGTCTATCGCCTCCTCCAGATTGGGCCAGTGGTTCTTCATGTAGTCCTCTATAGCCATTGCATTCAACACTGGGGAAAGAAAGATGGTCAGACACGTAAACGCATCACTTTGGTAGTAAACAGAACCGCTAGGCCAGGCTGGGGGGGAGACCTCAGCTCAGGGGCCCCGTTTGCCAACTTACGGAACTTGGAAGTAGAATCGAGGCTGAATTTCTCCTCGCTGTTAGCAGCAGAGCATTCCGTTTCGCTAACTTCGCTGCTATCGCTGCCTGAATCCGAGTCCATGAACTTCGACCCGCAGGGAGAAGGGGACCACGGCTCCCCCCGTTTCATCGCCGGTTCTCCACCCGGTACAACGGAACAAACGGGCTGAGAGACTCCCATTCCGCCCGGTACCTGGCTGCTAAGCGCCGGGGTGGCTTTACCGTCGCCGCTGCTCCTGCGGTGGTTGTGGTTGTGGTCGTCTTTAACCTCCGAGCTGTCGTCCTCCATGGCCTCCATCTTTACGGTTTGCGTTGAAGGCCAAAACCGAGCAGAACTACAGAAACATGTCAACAGAAACAAGTGAAAACAAACAATAAACTCAGCCCTGCTCGGTGCCGTAAATCCCCTTTCAGCTTTGGGCTCACATTTTACGACACTTGCAAAAGATTTTAGTAAAAGTAGTACTTTTTTTTTTTTAAAGATAACTAGGAAATTTACTTGCCCAAACTTAATTAATAATATAAAGTTGACATTAATTTATTGTGAACAAAATATCTAATCCTTTTCAAAATGCCTAGTGAGTTTTTTTGCAGATTGTACCACATTTTACGACACTTGGAGTCAAGGTAAGACTTTGGTGAGGAAACTGGGAAATGTAGTTCAAAGCATGTGATCTGGTTCCTATAGAGCAGCAAAGAAAAAAGTAAAAATCTAACTGAAAAGTTCAAAAGTTAATAAGCCTAGTTAACAATTATATTTAGGTTTATTAACTAACAAAAAAATAGTACCAAAAAATTTGTTTCTATGTGTTTTTCATTAATTTCATTAATATATTTTTTTATGTTACAAAGGTAATAAGGTCTAGTCCTGGATTCCAATAACTTGGCTTTATTATATTTATTATATTATATGTATTATAAAGGATTAATAGTGGCTAAAATTGATATAAAGAGCTAAATAATACACTATAAAATAAATACCAGTCTCCATTTAAAGATGGATAAAGATGGATAAGAAGGACATTTAAAGTTTTAGAGCCATTTTTCTTTTAATTAGCTTGGAATTGATGTGTTTTAATATTATTTCAAAAGCCAAAAATACATAAATTGTAGGTTGTTTAAGATGGCATCTAATTCCCTATACAAGATAATAACAAGAAAATAAATACACTGAAAGAAATAATGCAACTGTATTTACTTAATCATATTTAGTTACTTTAACACAATTGTTTCATGTTAGCAAGGTAGGACATAAAAAAAATTGTGTTAAAGTAACTAAATATGATTAAGATTGGTACAATCTGCAAAAAAGTCACTAAATCTCTAGGTATTTTGAGAAGGATTAGAAATGTTGTTGTTAACTTTATTTATCTATCCATACCTGTCATACTGTATTACTGTTTGGGCAAGTATATTTCCTAGTTATCTTAAAAAAATCCTACTTTTACAAAAATGTTTTGTTCATTTAGCAACATTTTCTAAAGATGATGCAGCTTTTGCTCCCCTTTTCTCCAAATTAAAGCAGTTGAATATTTATGAAATTAATATTTATCAAACTTTTACTTTTGTTTTTAAGATAAAACAAGGTCAGTCTCCTGATAGTTTCAATAATTATGTTGTTAAGTTCATTCTTATAATACTAGACAAGCTTTGCCTCTTCATTTACCATTAAGTATTAAAACTTAAGTGCAATTTTCTATTTCGGTATCGTGGTGCAAAACTATGGAATGAATACGGAAAATATTTGGAATCTTCAGAGATAAATGGTAGAAAGTCTTTGAAAAAGATACTGTTATCCAAAAAAGACAGTGATGTAAGATTTTACAAATATTGACTCCCTGAAATCTGAAAGCTAAGATTTTAATCTGAAAGTTAAAATAATGTTACTGTACATGTCTTTTCGGTTTTCTCATGTTTTTCATAATGTGAGCTGCCTAATGTTTTGTTGATTTCAGGGTGTGGCCTTTGGTATGTGCCCTATGGGGTTTCTGTCACTCTCCATCACATTTCTTATTTTATTGATGTATTTTGAGTTTCTATTTTGATTTGTGAAATATATATATATATATATATATATATATATATATATATATATATATATATATATATATATATATATATATATATATATATATATATATATATATATATATATATATATATATATATATATATATATATATATATAAATAAAAAGCCAAAAGTGGTTGCATTATTTTTTTCAGTGTAGGATGTTTTTTTGAAAAAGTCATACTTTGCGGCTCTAAACAACTTTTACTTGGATCGGACTCGGGGCAAAATAGCTCTTTCAGACCGCTGCAATACAGGATACCGTGATGAGACATAAACCAACAATATCTTTAAATTAGATTAAGACAAAGCAATTAGTATGAAACACAGTGTGCTTACAGTGGGTCCTTTAATAATGAAAATATCAATATTAATAATTAATTCAATTCAATTCAGTTTATTTCTATAGCGCCAATTCACAACACAAATCATCTCAAGGCACTTTACACTTCACCAGATCATCCAGTCAGATTGATTCAAAGTTTTCTATCTAAGGAAAACCAGTTGATTGCATTGACTCATTGACTCAAATACAATCCCTCACACTAAGCATGCTTGTAGCGACAGTGGAGAGGAAAAACTCCCTTTTAACAGGAAGAAACCTCCAGCAGAACCAGGCTCAGTGTGAGCGGCCATCTGCCGAGGCCGACTGGGGTTCAAGGAGACAGAAGCAGAGACACAAAAAGCAGCTGCAAAAGGCGGCCCCGTCCAGGAAACACACAGCCAGGCAGACGAGCTCCGAGACAGCTCCCATGTCAGAGGATGAAGAGAGCACATCCACTCAGTCAGAGAAACAGGACTACACTGGAAAACAGGCCGATCTCCAGCATCAATAAACATCTACAAACAAGGGTGTTACATTTTAAATATTTAAATACTTTATGTACAAAAAATGTAACTGCAGTAAATGTGGAAAACTAAGAAAAGGTGGGTGTGAATACTGTAAAAAAAAAAAAAAAGTCAAGTAAGAAAACCATAGGCGGGGGCCAACAGGAGCCAGCGCCCCTGAAGAACTGATCTTGGCCCCTGTACTTAAAACATACAGCACAAAAAATTTACATAAAAGTCAATTTTCTTGTAAAGTGGTGTATTTTGCCTCAATTTGATCAGGCAGATAATACAATTTACTAATGTAATAAGATGATTTCTGTTCATTAAAAAAATCCATCTTCTTATTTCAAGTAGTTTATATGTAAGTATCTTATTTTGAGGGAAAAATACAATTTTCTTTGGCAATCATCTTATATATCCCCTCATTTTAAAAAAGTTTTTACATTTTAGATCACTGTTTGCTGTGTCAAACAAAATAAGTCGTATGATTATATGACTGCACTCAAATCTTAGATCTTTTTTTGAGATTTATATACTTTTGTTATTAGACTTATCATGATTTCAAGTCGTGGAAAGTGCAATTGCCTCAATGCATTGGCAGACTATTGCACTTATTTTAAGTTATCTTCTCTTGCTTAGTGTATCAATCTCCACATGCGACCCTAATTAGATGGACAATTTTTGCAGCATGTAACTGATAATAATCGATTTGGACCAATTTAATCATTCACCTTTACAATTTCCTTAAAAAAAATGAAGTCACCTTAAAATTTCAGCCATATTAAGGTACAACCCAGGTTACATCATCATCATTTTTAAAAACACGGCCCCACCCCGGCCCCCCCGGTAAACTTCGTCTAGAACCGCCACTGAAAAAAACTAATGCAGTATAACAAAATTGTTGCAGAATTAAAGGGCAGATGTAGTTTTACTATTTATTCTGCCTCTTTTCATATAAAATGCATTGATTAAGTAGTCTGTGTATCTGAATATTAGCATTTTTTTTTATGAAATAAAATTAAATAAAAATTACGACAAAAACGAGTCGTATGTATATTTGAGGTGTAATAATGCACAAAAACCTCGATTTGGCACTTAAATAAAGTAAGTTGGTAAAACTTTCTTATTACTTTGGTCAGCAGTGATCAAAGAATGTATTTTAATTCCTGACATGAATTTACTTTTATTTTCATAGATAAACTTAAACAAATGTAAAGTACAGAACTAACTGGTGGTTTTGTATTTATTTGTATTGAGTGTAGTTTAAGCAGGCATGGCCACTGTTCGAAAAGATAATAAGATAGATTATACAATAATATAACCATGAAAACCGCTGATGTAAATATTGATTTTTTTCCTGTGAGAAGGCTATTCATACAAATAAAATAAATTTTAAGTGTTAAGTGTTACAACGCTGTTTTTATATTTCACATGTAGTGTCCCAGCTGATCATGGATGCAGCACATCTCTGATAAACTCAGATTCCTCCAACTTCTATTTCCTTCAAAGTAAGCAGTTTGGATTCACTGCGTGCTACGGGTAGATCTTTTTTTTTTTTTAGTGCCCATGATTTTAACATTTACATACAGTTACTGATTAATAATTCAGTTAAGAATATCAAGAACCTCTAAAGAACCCCTATCTCCCCCTGTTTTTTTGTTCTTCTTTACCCCATTTGTCATAAATAAAGGTGTGGACGATTCTAATTGACTGGTTGAAACTCCATAAAGTGTTTTTTTTTTTTTTACTTTCAGTATGTCTAAAGTGTAAATTAACAAATTATTTTTATATAATATTATTTATTGTTTGTCTAATGCTTTTTTTTGTGTGTTTTCTGTTTTTATTTTGGGACAAGTGCTAAAGGACTCACTAAAGGACATTAATCAATGTCATGTTCTTGTTGTATACCTGTAAAAAAAAAAAAAAAAAAAAAAAAAGGGATTATTTTCTAGGATTTGCATACGGATCAGTTCTGAGCGTTCCGGTCTGCTGAAAAGTTTATGCTTTAGGAAATTCCCTGTCTAATAAAAAGAATATAAAGAATCTCACTACATTGCAATAGAAAGATGCATTAAATTCTGGTTCAGTCGACCTTTCTTTTTGCGTAAAACCCAACATTTTATCCGGTGTTCCTCTGTTCCACATTTTGAAGCCGTGCAACCAAAAATGCAAGCGAGCATTTTGCAATAACTGGCAATTGGGGAGTTTGCAGAAATTAATTAATTACCCATTTCTGGGTTTTTCACTGAAATTTAACTACGTTAAAATGTAAAATAAAAAGTTAGATTCAAAATAATTACACTTTGGAGGTGATAGTTTATGCAATTTAACATCTTATACTCTTCTAGACCTTTTTTTTTTGTTATTCAGCCATATGTAAAGGCTCTTATCATGCTCAAACAGGAAGTTTGAGCCACTCCAACATTTTAATTCTGCTTTAGGCCATTGAGAGGTGGACCTGCTGGTGTGATTTGAATTAGTTTCACTCCCCGATACAAGAGTGCTTGAGGTGAAAGATGAAAAC